GTAATGCTGTATTACCTCGTCTACAAAACAAAACAAAATCAATATTTCTTAACATTTCGAATATTAATGAACAAAAAAAGAAAAAGTACACAGTCAATCTTTGATTTCAATTGATATTAAAATCTCGATATATATAGAACTTACGGTCCTTTTTTATCTAATTTAGCTTTTCCATCTATAATAAGTGTTTCTAAACATTCATAATATCCATTACGTATAGCCAATTGTAGAATCGTATAACCTTCTTTATTTTTAACATTAACATCAGCTTTTTCTTTTATTAAACGTTGAACTTCTTTTAATATATCAATTTGATGTGATGATTTTTTATTATAATTATTATTTTTTTTTTCAAATAATCGAATTAATGCATGAGTTGACTATTAATTATAATAGATAATTTAATAAAACAACAAAAAAAAATTATAATAAAATATTTTATTCTTACACTTTCAATATTTTTTGTAATAGTATTAGCTGATTGTGGTCGTTTTTTATTACGATGTTTTACTTTTGTTCGTTGTGATTTTTCTCTTGGATATTCATCTATATAAAAAAAGACAAAGTTTTTTTTTGTTGCAAAAGAATACTTTTGCCTACTATCAGAATAAATTGTATTTGAATATGGTAAACTTCGTTCATTATCTATTGGATAATATTCATTTGTTTCATTAATAAAAAATGGTGATTGTGAAAGATTTTCTGGTTTACGAAATACTGTTTGTATAGTTACTTGATATTCATTTTCATGTACAGTTGCATGAATCATATTACCCATACGTGGTTCACCTAAAAAAAAATAATTAAATAATATATAAACTTTTTTAATATTAATATATAAGATATATATAGAGAGAGAATTTATATTTTAAATAATAATTATTATTCATTATAACAAAATAAAAGTATTTGTTTTTTTTAAATATTAAAGATCTTTACCAATCAATGATTGAAAATCTGGTCGATTAACTGCATAAGTTTTTAAATGAGCACAAATATGATCTAATTGTTGTCGCCAATATCCTTTTCCTGGACTTGTAGATGTTAATATTGGACGATATTCTTTTAATTCTTTTTCACCTAATAATTTTTTATTTTGTGTTATAATTAAATCAATATCTTTTGCACTTGGATAATAAATTCCATATGTTTGTGTTGCAGCTTCTTTTTTAATTGTTGAATATGATTGATGATAATTAGTTAATGTTGTATTTGCATTAAGCCATACAGGATTAACTGAATTACGTGTTAATGTCTATAGAAAATAAGAATCGTTTTATTTTTTTTTTATATTTTTTTTATTCTTTAATTTTAATATACACTAGCAATCATTGATGAAGATGAAATATTCAAATCGTTTTTAAGACGTGTATCAATAATACGTAATGGTGGTTCAATAACACATCCACATGATGAACAAAATTTTGCAGATGAATCATTATTAGTATGACATTTTGTACATTCTATTGATGTAGATATATGTTCAGGATATGCACCACACCAATCACAAAAACGAGCATTAGGATTATTTAAACGAAAACATTTTGAACATGTTATCATCATTGTATTTGTTTGTTTTGATATTGTTGGAATTGAAATTGAAGTTCGTTTTTCCTATTGAAATATAAATATGAAAAAAAAATAAATAAGAGTTTTTCTTTTGTTGTTTACTGGTGGTGTTGATGTTGGCATTAATACATTTTCACAAATATAACATGTTCGTAAATGTATTGGATTTGTTGATTTACAATGAGGACATAGAATTTTTGTCTAGAAAAGAATATTAAAGTTTTGATTAATTTTTTTGAAATGTTTGTTTGTTTGTTTTTTTTTAAACCTGATTTTGAGAAGTTGGTCGCTGTTGTGGTTCTTTGGATATTGGTGTTTCACATACAACACATGTGTTAGAATTAAATGGAATAGTAGATTTACAATTTGTACATATATTAGTCTAATTAAAGAAAAATTATCCGTGTAAAATAAGATAACTACTATTCATTTGTAAAGTAATCAATACTGTTATGTAGAACAATAATATGATCCGTCGAAGGATATACTCTTTATCAAATTTTACAGTTCTGAAAAGTCATATACCCCCCCCCCCCCCCCAAAAAAATAGACGGCCACTCTATATTAGAAGGCCATGTACTAATTAATTAATATATTTCAAAATTATCGAAATTTTCATAAATATTAATTAATAATTAAGGAAATATTAACCGATTTTCTAATGTTTTTTTTTGCGAAATCCTTCCTTTCCTATCATAATTAGTACAGTTTTTACAAAATGTGGTAGTTTTTTAAGCAAAAAACACCTAAAAAACAATAATTAAAGTTATTAATTAATCATTCATTTTTTAAATGATTTTAATTAAAAACTGGCCAAAAATTGATCCCCGATGGAAAGCCATCCAAAAAGTAGCGATGTGCCAAGACACTGTATAAGGGCATGTCCTTTTATTCTGGGGGCGGGGTTACTAGTTAACAGGTATTATAGCAATGATGAGTGTTGTTAGATGCGACTGTCGAGGACATAGGCAACCAACCATGCAACTTTTTCCGAGTTTTATAAGTGTCATTCCTGAGAATAGAAAAATATATGAATTTTCTTTTTGTTTTTAGGCTTCAGAACATCGAATGTGATTCGGATATGTAGTTCTATCACATTCAACATATGTTCGGGTTTCTTATAAGAATTGATAGCTTTACCAAGATTCTGAAAGAGAAAAACGTTTTTTTTTACTGTTTTCGAAAGACCCATATATATATGTCAGATATAGGTTATTTTTGAGATCATATTACTCATCATTGCTCTTATATATCTTAACTGGTATAATGACTTTTATGAAAAAATAATTTCATAAATAACTATGAGTTGTTTAACAGAATGGGATTAGGTAGTTTCTTTTTTTTGAAATGAAGGGTAGTCATCATATCCGATAGAGTTATTTTGAATTACTGAATAATTATCCGGTGGATTATGAGTTAGTTTTTGCCAAGGTAGACCACATTCCGTACAAAATCGTGTATATAAATCATTTGATTTAGGTGCAAAACAATGTGCACATCTAGAAAAGAAAAAACAAAGCTCAAATAATAAAATAATTTTGTTTCGATAAACCTTAAAACATTTGTTTGTATTTGAGAATTTGAATATGTATAATTAGTTGGATTTTCTTGTACTAATGAATCAATTGTTGAACGACGCATTGATTCTATATAGAAATTTGATTAATAATAAATAAAATTACTTTTTCTTTTTTTTGATACCAGATAATTTTTGTTGCATTTGTTCATTTTCATTTTGCATCTTTCTCATTAATTCCTATTGAAGTAAAATTATAAAATCAATTAATAAACATTTTAACTGAATTATTAGCCTAACAAGAGAAGAATTTCAACTGAATAGTTGTTTTTAATTTGAGGATGCTATGAACTCAAATAAGTTGTAAATATGTAGAAAAAAGTTCGATTGCTTTACTAATTGTTTTTTAGATAATACTATGACATTCTTCAGAAATATTTCATTTTCAAATCTCGAATTTGAATTTTTCACAGAGATTGAGATCACTGACAATAGTTTCTAATGAAAGTTTTAGATATATTCTTATTGACGAAATGAAAAATATTTTGCAATAAATTATTTTTGTTAACATCTATCTCTATGTGAAGTTTCAAATCGAAATTTAAACACTAAAATTGAAGATGTGTCAATGACTTTGATAAGTTTTGAACTTCATATGAAAAGAAAAACATTTTAATGAAGAAATATCGATGGACAAGCATTAAATTACTACTATTATATTAATGATCTTCTAATTGAACTCTTGAGATATCGAGACATTCTTGAATATCAATTTTTTTAAATAAAATTAAAGATAAATATTTTTGCAAACTAAAATATATTTATATTGAAAAATTTAATATTTAATTAAACTTCAACATCTTGATTAATCATTTATAATGACACATAAACTTACTCATATATCCAACAGATTATTTTATTTTCGTAATATTTTAATGAAAAATTCAATGTATTCAGATATGTTTTCTATTAAAATCGAGTTCATAATTTCTTTTAATGAAATCTTATCTTTTTCTAAAATATGCTTTTTCAGATTACTTAAATAAATATTAAAAATAATATTCTTTCACATGATTCAAATTCATTGTACATTTCATATAAAAATAGATATGATTTCAAAATAAAAACAAAAGTATTCTATACAGTATTTCAATAAACATGAGATAAGTAAATTTCTATTGAACTTATTTATTATCTATCAGTTTGAAATTTTTTACCTTTCGTTCTTGTTGTAATTCATATAAATATCGATTTTCATATTCATCCGATAATGAATGATCTGATGGAATAATTTTAACATCAAATATTTTTGTTACTATAACACTTTCTCGTATTCCATCACTAAATAAATTTTAATAAAAAAAAATAAAAATTCTTCAAATTGATTTTTTTGTTTTCTTAAATATCTTTACCGTGATACAGCTATAGCTTTAACTGTTACTTTGCCTGTATTAGCTATATCTCTTGGTATATAAAATGGTTTTTTATATTGTATAGTCGAACGTCGTGTTGCTAATGTTATAAATGCATCTGGTTTTGAACCATCTAATGTATAATAAATATCAACATCATTTGTATCACTACGTATTTCAATCAATGTATTTGTATCAATGGAAAATTTTTGTGCATATCCAACACGTAATGGAATTATTGACGGAGCAGATATTGAACCAGCAGTCATTTTATTTAACAATTCAAAAAGTAATTAAATTGACATGATGAAACCATATCAAACTTTTTTACATCAAACGGTTGTCAAGCAATATTAAACTATATATATGATTGGTTAAATATTTAATCCAATCAAAAATAAAAAAAGAAGAGAATAGACAATACTAAATCGAATATGAAAGACAAAAATAAATTTTTTATTTATAATTGTATGTAAATACAATAAGACATAAAATAAACTATTATGGTATTTATACGTGATTTAAAACGTGAATTTTTTGAATTTATATCTAAACAACAACGTCGTTTACTTGTCTTTGTTCATCTTGATGTTGATAGTTTATGTGCTTGGAAAATTTTTCAACATTTATTACAATGTGAACATATTATATATACATGTTTACCAGTTTTATATAAATATGATTTAGAAAATGGTCATATACAACATATTAATAGTGGAATTAAAACAATTATATTTATTAATTGTGGTTCAACACTTGATTTATATGATTTTTTATCACTTGATTCAATTAATAATAATAATAATGATGATGAAAATAATTTAACATTATTTGTCTTAGATAGTTTACGTCCAATTGAACATCGTAATATTTATGATTCTAAACAAATTCGTTTACTTATTTTACCAAATAAAATTGATATAGAAAAAAAACGTGTACCACAATATGAAGAATTATTTCATGAAATATATGATGATGATGAGAATGATGATGATGATGAGAATGAAGATAATGATGATGATAATCAAAGTGATGATGAAAATAGTACAAATATGAGAATTGAAAGTATAGAAACAAGAAATAAAAGACTTAAACGACAATGGTTAAAAAGACGTGATAAAGCATTAGCAAATTATTATAAATATCGAACACATTCATATTCATCAGCATTAATTATGTTTGAATTAGCTTATTTATTATCAAAAGATACAAATGAACAATTATGGTAAGATAAAATAAAACACATAGTTTTTTTTTCACAGATATTAATAGGAAAATTGTCAAAGAGTTTCGAATAAAATTCCATGAACTCTTGAACAAGTTAATCTTAAAGCATAGAGTTTTGTAGATGTTCGAATACCGATTTGATTATTGAAAATTGACCTTAATCAACTAACGTAATATGTTCATCTTTAAATACATTGTTTTTAGTCTTTGATAAAACTTTTACATGGTTATTGGATCGAGAAATTTTTTTTTTTCATAATAATCATATGTAATCTTTTTCCTTTTACTTATCGCTACGCAAAATAGCGATTTTCTAAATCATGGTTGCTTACGACCTCCCTCTAAGTTTGTCCGATCGAGCTGAAATTTTTACCACTAATACTTAGAAGTATTCTCCAGAGGTAAAATCGAATGTTTTCATTTTTGACATTCCTACTCGGAGTTACCGAGTCCTGAAAGTCAAGATCCGGAACCAAAATTCAGATCTTGGCATATTTCTCTTATAAAAAAAAGACAGTGAGTTTTTTGACAAACCTTAAATTTATCTCTGAGGAATAGTGTTATATATCTAAAAAAACAAAAAATTCACCCCAATCGGATAAACTTTAAGGGGGATCGTAATGTATCAGTATGCGGACTTCTGAAAACTTCATAAGAACTTACGTTAATTTTTTTTCCTCGGACATCCATTTCGTTATTTTTAGTGCTCTATCTGTGCTAAAAATTCTAGCTTGATCGGTTGCACTGTCTTCGAGAATCAGCAAGTGTCAAAAAAGACAGGGGAGGGGGGTACCGTTAAATTAAAGACTTATGTACCTGTAGCTACTTCTAACAACTTTATTTCAATTTTTAGGTATGCTATTATTGGTGTAACTGAACAATTACTTCATGGACGAATTGATCGTGATTGTAAGTTATTCATAAATAATATCAACTGAATTTCATATATAAATATATTATATTTAAAATAAATATTCTAGTCTATATGGAACAACTCAATATTCTTCAAAGTCATGTTCTTCGTCTTAATCATAATCAAAATTCTATAATAAATTCTAATGATGATAATAATAATACATCAATAATAAATTCTAAATTATCAATGGATTGTATAAATATAAAATTTGATGAAGATATTAATTTTCATTTATTACGTCATTGGTCATTATATGATTCAATATATTATACACATGATATGATTATATCATTTAAATTATGGTCATCACGTGGTTTATCACAATTAAAAGAATTTCTTGCTGATTTAGGTATACCAAAACGTGAATATGAACAATATTATCGTGATATGAATATAAAATATAAATTAAATATTAAAAAACAAATATTAAATAAACGTTTACAAGATAAATATCATTATACAACAAATACAATTATATTACCAACATTTTTATTAACAAGTGGTTTTACATTAAAATTATCACCACAAGATATTGTCTATTCTGTTATGTCAACATTACAAACATCATCATCAACAACAACAACAACAACATCAACATCAATAATGATTGATTTAACTCAATGTTTTTCATTAGCATTATCATGTTTAAATTATAATCAATTAGAACAATATATAAATGGTATTGAATTAGAAAAAATTTATACAAAAAAAAAACATTATTTAATTGAAACATTATTACAATCAGATAAAAATTTAACATTTAATAATACAATACCATTTATATTACTTAAATTTGATCAAAATATGTTTAATTCATCAATAATAAATGATAATATTAAATCATATGAATTTTTTACACATCCATATCAAACATATTTATTTGCACGTCATGCATTAAATATATTAATATCATATACATCATCATCAACAAATATAATTAAAAGAAAAAAATCAAAATATTTAAAAAATTTACCATTAATATTAATAGCACCATATTCATTAACAAATAAAGAACATGAATTAATTGAAATTGTTGTTGGTGTACCATCATTTAATAATATTATGATGAATTCATTTTCAACATTATTTGAAACAGCTGATCGTCGTTGTGGTAATGTTGCTAAATTTGTATTTTTTGATCATTCTGTATTATTATTACAAGAACAACATCGACAAAAATTTATTGATGCACTTATGTTTGTACTTGCAAAATAAAACAAAACAACTTAGTTCTTTTTTTGTCTTCTTCTTCTATGTTTGTATATTGTTATGACATTTATTTTATATAAATGATGAGAGAGATATTAAAAACAATGTTTTCCTTTTTTTCTTTTCGGTTTGTTATATATATATATATGTATTATCTTAGATGAGTGACGATGCACTTTTTGATGTTTTTGATCAAGATGAACCGAGTGCTATCGTTGAATTACCAAAAAATGTAACTATTATTGAACAAATAACAACAACAACAACAACTACAATCATGTAAGGAAATATATGTTACTAGATGGAATATTCTCTTTTCTATCATAAAATTGTAGTTGTTTAAAGAATACGATCGGGTGGTGAGATTAGAAAATAGAAAAAACGTTGATAGGCCTTTCTTTCGGAGTTATGATCAATTTACTGAATTTTTTCGGAAGATATTTAGAAAAAACTAAATGGCGAAATTTCGTCCATATATAGGTTCTATAGTTCTTAGTATACGTCTAAAGGTTTCAACGAAAACGAATCTTTCCTTCTTGACATAATGAATACATAAGCAAAATTGTTTTAGCTCAGTTCTCTGAAATTTGAACACTTCTTTCCAATTTATTATGTCAAGAAGAAAAGATTCGTTTCCGTTGAAACCTTTAGACGTATACTAAGCAGAAATGGGCTGCTCCGACGAAAGTTGGTGAACCAGCGACCCAGGACAGATTATATTTACGTCGAATTTAACATCATTTGACGTAGAAATGTTTGCTCTTTCCAGCTATGTATTTAGCTTGGTCCTTGTCTTCCATTGAGACAAAGTTGTTGGAGCGGGAGCTGAGTTCGACCGGCTCCGACGACTTTGTTTCAACGAAAGACAACAGTTAAGTTAAATATATAGCTGGAAAGAGCAAACATTTCTGCGTCGAATGATGTTAAATTCGACGTATGTATAATCTGTTCTGGGTCGCTGGCTCACCAAGTTTCATCGGAGCCGGCAACCGGAGCTGTCCATCTCTGATACTAAGGACTATGGACGAAATTTCGTCATTTGTTTTTTTTCTAAATATTTTGGTATAGCTTCAGAAGAAAAGCCTATGGGTGCTTTTGCTAGTCTTACCAGTTCGTATCTATAGTCAAAATATCACTTCGAAAAGCTCGTAATCACTTGATGAAATTTTCTTGTGAATAAATTCATATTTGAAAAAATTTAACTGTTCGACAGCGAATAACTAGTCCTATCAATTAAGTCACATGTTTATTGCCTCGGATCAGCCCTAATAAAATATAGTAATGTCCGATCTGTTGAGTCAGTATTAAATTTGAGAAAAAAAAGTAATTAACTCGAAGTAAAACAATAATTCATTCCTATTCAAGGTAGATACACTCGGGATTTCAGTCATGAACTCTGCTGATATATCGTCGATACTTATGGATAACTCGATAGTGTAAACAAACATGTATATAGAACAATTCAAAAGTAATTGCAGTAACATTTCAATTCCTTATAACAAACCTTCTTTCTACATAGTCTGATAGAGGAAAGAATGCTTTATTTTTCTATGCTATTCGATCATCCATTATATGTGTACTACAAAGAAAATCTCTTTAAACTTTTTTTATACATAAATTATCTAAAAGAAGATATGAATTACGAAATATCTAATTATTTTTTTTATTTTTCTAGAAAAGAAGAAAATGATAGTGAAAAAATCTCTCATGATAAACGTGTATGGGAAGAAGATGATGATCAAATCGATATAACAATAAAACGTAATCGAACTGATTTATTAACTGAAACTGGTTCAGGAGGGTAATTTTAATCATTATTTTTTTTTTGTTAAATTTATTTTTTATTTTTTAGTTTTTTTGAAAATGTTCCACGAATGCAAATTCATACTGTTGAAACAATTGAATCATGTTTACATGAAGTTTGTTTTTTTTTTGATTATCAATTATATAGAAAATTATTTCTTTTTTTTATTATTAGGTTGTTTTACCACCAAATTTTGAATATGTACCATTAAAAGCACCTATTGGTCCACCGGCTAAAGAATATAAATTTAATCTTGATCCATTTCAACGTGAAGCTATAACATGTTTACAAAATAATCAATCAGTACTTGTTTCAGCTCATACATCAGCTGGAAAAACTGTTGTAGCTGAGTATGTTAAATATTTATATATTAAAAACTTTTGTTTTTTTAAATCAAATTTTAATAATACTAGATATGCTGTTGCTATGGCATTACGTGATAAACAACGTGTTATATATACAACACCAATAAAAGCTTTAAGTAATCAAAAATATCGTGAATTACATGAAGAATTTAAAGATGTTGGTCTTATGACTGGTGATGTAACACTTAATCCATCAGCATCATGTCTTATTATGACAACAGAAGTATGATTATAATGAGAATTAAGAAATTTTCTTTTCGCTTTTTTTTTTTATTTAAGATTCTTCGATCAATGCTTTATCGTGGTTCAGAAATAACTCGTGAAGTTGCATGGGTTATATTTGATGAAATACATTATCTTCGTGATAAAGGTTTAAATATAAAAATATATTAAATTTAAATGTTGTTTTGTTTTTTTTTAAGAACGTGGTGTTATATGGGAAGAAACAATTATTTTATTACCAGATAATGTTCATTATGTATTTCTATCAGCTACTATACCAAATGCAAAACAATTTGCTGAATGGATATCATTTCTTCATAATCAAGTAAAGTTTCCTTTTTTCTGAATATCAATAATAAATCTTACAGTGAGGGCTCAAAAAAAACATGTACATTTTTGTTTTTACGCATAAACGAATAATAATACTCTAAAAATTTTCTCTCATATCGGACTTTGTAGAACTTTTTTCGCTGATCATTTTGGTAAAAAAAATTTTTTTTTGTTTTCATTGAGTAATGACGATGTTATAGTTAAAATACTAAATACTGTAATATAAAGTAGGGAAAAAAGTTTAGCACACTATTAGTATTTGACTAATTTTTACGTTATTTCACAACATATTGGAAGATGTTCTATATATCATTTGACGCAGAATTTAATGGGCTACATTTTGGTAACAAGCACTTATATTGCAGTTAATTAGTAATTAATAATAATTTTGATTTTTTTTAATTCCAACTCTTTCATATGAAAGAGCATAAAAAACTGAACAAAACTTTATAATTACTATTTGGAAAGCAACGAATTTAGTGTGATTTTCAGAGTATGTACAATTGTAATTAGATATAGTATGTATTACAGTGTTTAGTATTTTGACTATAACATCGTCATTACCCAATGAAAATCAAAAACTTTTTTTTTTACTAAAATGATCAGCGAAAAAAGCTCTACAAAGTCCGATATGAGAGAAAATTTTCCGAGTATCTTTATTATTCGTTTATGCGTAAAAATAAAAATGTACATGTTTTTTTTTTGAGGCCTCACTGTATGAGAAGTCTATTAATTATTTATTTTATTAGCCTTGTCATGTTGTATATACTGATGTTCGACCTGTACCTCTTCATCATTATATTTATCCAGCTGGTGCTGATGGTCTTCATTTAGTTGTTGATGAAATGGTACTTCTTTTTTTTTGTGTATTGAAATTTTTATTTCTATTTTTTATTTTAGGGTAAATTTCGTGAAGATAATTTTAGTTCAGCTATGGCAACATTACGTGATGTTGGTGATGCAGCAAAAGGTGATAAACGTGGAAGACGAGGTGGTTTAAAAAGTACGCAAAAAAGAATTTTTAGAAAAAAAAAAAAAATCTTCATTTTTTAATTTATATTTAATAGCTGAAACAAATGTATTTAAAATTGTTAAAATGATTATGGAACGAAATTTAGCACCAGTTATTGTTTTTAGTTTTAGTAAAAAAGATTGTGAAACATATGCATGTGCAATAGCAAAACTTGATTTTAATTCTGGTTTTATATTTTCTAATAAAAAAAAAAATAAAAAAATTTTCTTTTTTTTTTTTTATAGAGGATGAAAAACATCTTGTTGAAGAAGTATTTAATAATGCAATTGATCTATTATCTGATGAAGATAAAAAATTACCTCAAATAAATACTGTTTTACCATTACTTAAAAGAGGTGTTGGTATACATCATTCAGGTTTATTACCAATTATAAAAGAAACAATTGAAATACTTTTTGGTGAAGGTCTTATTAAAGCTTTATTTGCAACAGAAACATTTAGTATGGGCTTAAATATGCCTGCTCGTACAGTACTTTTTACAGCTGCTAGAAAATTTGATGGAAAAGAATTACGTTGGGTAAATATAAAATATTAGAAAAAAAAATTTTAATTTTTTTTGATTTTTAATTAAGATAACATCTGGTGAATATATTCAAATGAGTGGTCGAGCTGGACGTCGTGGAAAAGATGAACGTGGTATTGTTGTTTTAATTATTGATGAACGTATGAGTCCAACAACAGCAAAAGATATTGTTAAAGTTTGTATACAAAATATTTTTGATTTTTTTTTATCTATAAAAATTTGTTTCTTAGGGAAAAGCTGATCCATTAAATAGTGCATTTAAATTAACATATAATATGGTATTAAATTTATTACGTGTTGAAGGTATTAATCCAGAATTTATGCTTGAAAGATCATTTTATCAATTTCAACATTTTTCATCAATACCGGCACTTTATGAAAGTAAGATTTTATTTTTTATTTTTTCTAATGATTTATATCAAAATTGTAGAATTACAAACTTGTGAACAACAATATGATTCAATTAAAATTGAAAATGAAGAAGAAGTTGCAAGATATTATAAATTAAAAAAAAAACTTGAACTTGTACAAGATCAAATTGCTATTATGATAAATGAACCAAAATATTTATTACCATTTTTACAGCCTGGTCGTCTTGTTACAGTAAGAAGTTTTAGATAAAAATAAAATTTAAAATCAAAATAAAAAAAACAATTATCGTTCGATTAAGATGATTATTCTTTTTGAATATAGTCATTATTAATTATTTTTCTAGTAATAGAATACTGAACTGTAAAAATTCAATCGAGTAAAATCTCTTGTTCGAAAAGACTTATCCAATACAATGTACTGTTGAACAGTCAAAAGGAAAAATATGGAAAATCATAACCTAATAAGACGTTTTTTATTTTTTGATATAAGAAGTATGTCCGATCCAATTTAAAAAAAACTCGATTAGCTTCAAGGATGTGTGAAGGCATAGTCTTCTCTTCATCTACACTCACATTTTTCCCGTTCGACTTTTTAACAGCTAACCTGGAATTAGAGATGTCTAGAGGTGTAAGCCGAGAGGTCAAACGGCGGCGGCGGCTTTGACAACCAAAAAAAGGCGTTTTCGTTCCTAAAATGCAAGAAAATGACCGATCGCATATGTATCGATGTCAATGGCGGCGGCGCATACTATTATCAAAAATTTGCGCTTGTGGCGGTGGCGCAACAGCTGAACTAACTTTTTCACAGTGGCGGTGGCTGATTTCTGAAAAAAATCGGCGGCGGTGCAGCTGGATGGCTTACACCTCTAGAGATGTCCATGGCGACAGCATTATTTTTGAAGGACATTTTAAAACTGTATAAATTTATAGAATTTCTATGTTTTTCAAACGAAATTGCTTGCGACTGAATAAATCTAATGGACATGTATCGATATTTCTGATTAAATACAATCGCAACAGTAAAATTCAATACACTGTTTTGAAAGTCATCGCGGCAGCGGCAGGTTTTCAACCGCGATGGACATCTTTGCCTGGAATACGATCTTTCAAAGAATCTCTATAGATATTTTCCTACATGAAGATTTTAGTTTTTTTTTTTTTTTTTGAAAGAAGAATTCTCATCATGAACGATCACTTCATAAGTTTCAGCTTTTGTTAAAAATTAAAATATATTAATATTTTTTATATTGAAATTCGATGTCGTACTTTTCTTAAACAATAGATCTATACAAGTTTCAGAACATTCATAATTATCCTCATTTTGTACTCGTTAGAGTAAAGATCCTATAGCACATATTACTACACTGCGATGCACTATTAAAAAAACGTCTTGGATTTAATTGCTTCTCAGAGTGTTATATTTGTAGATACTGAAACTCTATGTAAATTCAGTACATTTGTAATTTTAGAATTAAAATCTATGAAATTTTCTTCTAGGTGAAATCTGGTGATCTTAATTTTGATTGGTGTGTTGTACTTAATTTTCATAAAAAACCTGGTGAAAAAGTTTGTATCAAAAATATGTTTTTTTTTTTATAACTTGTCTCGAATTTCTTTTTTTTAATTATTATTATTATTTTTAGCCAATTTATATCGTTGATGTTTTAGCACATTTAACATTAGAAAGTGCTACACAAAAATTAACAGCTGAAATTCAACCATGTTCATTATTTGAAAGAGGTGAAATGAAAGTAAGATTTTTTTTTTTTTGCTATTGTTATTTTTTTTTTTACGTTAATGAAATTCTTTTAAGGTTATTCCAATTCAACATACATTAATACGTGATATAAGTGCTATAAGAGTTTATCTACCAGATGATTTACGAACAAAAGAATCTCGACAAAGTATATTAAAATCGGTTCAAGATATAATACAACGTCATCCATTAGGTTTACCATTACTTGATCCAATACATGATATGGGTATTAAATCAAATGATATGATATCATATATAAAACAATATTCTATATTACAAACACGTCTTGATGAACATCCATTAACAAAAAATTTACAATTAAAAAAAATTTATGAACAATATGAATGTAAAGCAAATATTGAAAAACAAGTTCTTGATGCTAAAAATGAATTAAAAAAAGCACAATCATTATTACAAATAGGTGATTTAAAAAGACATAAACGTGTTTTACGTCGTTTAGGTTATTGTAATTCAGCTGATGTTATTGATTTAAAAGGACGTGTAGCATGTGAAATTGATACAGGTGATGAACTTGTTACAACAGAACTTTTATTTAATGGTGTTTTTAATGATTTAACTGTTAGTCAAGCATGTGCTTTACTTAGTTGTTTTGTTTTTCAAGAAAAAGCTAATGAAATGCCTAAATTACCACAAGAATTATCAGGACCATTACATCTTTTACAGGTATGTAAAATAGAAAAAAAAAGTATTAGTTTGTTTGACAATATCTTTTTCTCTTATCATACGAATTCCATATGATATTGTTCAAATCATTAGAGAGAAATCTTCGGATAAGATGTTCATATCGGTGCGGCGGTGGCAGCAACTTTTTTTAGGAATAAATTTTAAAAAACTCATGAATTTATATAGAATTTCGACGGTCATGTATACTCCACTGTAAGACTTAACGAATCTGATCTATTAGCAATAGAAGTTCTAGTTGAGATCAGTCACAGTCTTGAAAATCAAAGCAATTTTTTGATTCTCACCCACGATGGACATTTCTGTAAAGCTAGCATAACAAGCTGTTGATTCTGTATTGAAGTAGAGAACAATTACCAAACGCAATTATTTAAACTTAACATGAAGTATTAAGTAAAACTGCTTGATACTTAATTAAATTAAATTGAATTATCAATTTCTATTCTTCTCTTCAAAACAATTCGAATAGAACGATAAACAAGTATATTTTTAGTTTCTCAATATGAATAGAACTTCTATAGGCTTAGTTTTCACTCTTATGTTTTTATATAAAATATTTTGAAATGTTGATATATTTTACTATGAACAATTCATTATATTAGGAAGCAGCTCGTCGTGTAGCACGAGTATCAATTGAAAGTAAAATTGAAATGGATGAAGAACGTTATGTTGATGGATTTAAACCATATATGATGGATGTTGTTAAAGCATGGGTAGATGGACAAAGTTTTGCTAGTATTTGTAAAATGACAACAATATTCGAAGGTATATTATTAATTAAAATAATAATTGAAATTTTGTTTCTTTTTACATTGATTTATATGATAGGATCAATTGTACGTTGTATGCGACGACTTGAAGAACTTCTTCGACAAATGTGTTGTGCTGCTAAAGCTATTGGTAATAGTGAACTTGAAGCAAAATTTACTGAAGGTATTTTATTTAAGATTATATTATTATTATTATTATTAAAGAAAATATATTATTATTTTATTAGGTACACAAAAGATCAAACGTGATATTGTTTTTGCAGCTTCATTATATTTATAAAACAAAAACAAAATAATATATTAACATTAATCTTGTCTCGTTTGTTTGTTTTTTGATGTATGTAATTGCTGTTTGTTAAATAAAAACAAGAGTTAACTATCAAATTTAATCATAAAAAAAAATATATCTTTTACAATGTTACATATAAAAGAGCAATTAGGATACATCACACACAATAAAAAGATTAACGAAGGAATACATCCGATTGATAATCTGTGTCTGAGCTCATAGTACTATTAGACTGTTCTTTTCGAATTACTAAACTTTCAATCGATTGCACAAAAATCACAACAAGTAGTTTTGTCTTGAAATTCTCTCTAATATTAGCTGAAGCTTTCAAAATATCATGAAAGCTATTATTCGGAACAATTTCAAGACGAAATTCTTTATTGCAATTTTTCTCGTCTGCAATAGGCTTAAAGTTCAATAACTCGAGACTAAAAGCCTAATGGAATGAGTCCAGACGGAGATTATCACTCGGATGTGTGTCCTCATAGACAAGTACATTTTATCGAACGTTGTAAACAAAACGACTATAGATGACTTTCGTTCTTTTTATGTTGTTAATTTTCAAAAAAAAGAAATTTTTTTTTTGCTGAACTGAAAATTATAAAAGTAATCTAAAAGAATATAAGATTTTGTTTTTTTTTTCTTTTCTAATAATAAATTATTATTCAACAACAACAGTTGGTGCCAAATTTTTTTTAGAATATTTATTTTATTTTATTGGACTAGGTTTCTATTTAAGTATCATTCTGATACTCTTAATTATATTGACTGATATATATAGATATGCACTTAAGGACCTTCAAGTCGATTCTTAAAGTATCTGCAATTTCATATACGAACTTCTAAAATCATTCCATCAGATTTATTTTTAATGTTTTTTTTTGTTTTTCTCACTAATATTAATGTTAATAAATAAGTATTTTATTTCTAAGAAAAATTGATAGCTTTTCAAGAATTGGACGTCTATAAAAAAAACAACAACAACAAGCTTTTCATCCCTTGTAACTCTGTTTGAATTGTTTGTAATGATTGAGCAAACAATTCTCTACAAAATCAAAAAAAATGTTTTCCGGATCTCTATGACATTTTTGTCATAGACATATATAAATCTTATGAAAAACATAAAAATGATATTTCTAAATGAAATAGTTGAAGATTAATGTATCTTGTTGATAAAATACTGTAGAAAGTTATTTTATAGAAAATTCTTTGTTCTATCATTTTAGGTAATTCCAATAGATAACAAAAAAGAAAAACTTTTGATTTGAAGATTTTTCAAAAATTCAATTCTATTTTTTATTCTTGACAAATAAATCTAATTGAAAAATTTTTAAATCAACTAAATATTTATATTTTTTATAGGTAAAATTCGAATAAAATTAAAATTAAAATTATTATTAAATATTTTAATCTATTCATTTATATTTACATAACTATTATATTTTTAAATGATATTTTATTAAATAAAAACCTTTCGAATTCTTTTATTTTTTGTCTATACGAACAATATTTTATAACACATTTGTTTTTTTTACAATCGCATATGTGACTAGTTGTTAAATCTAATTCCGACAAAATTTTATTTTTATTAGATTGTAACGCGTACATCTATATAGAAACCGCTTATTGACACGATCGTTACAATTACAATTTTCTATCTATTTCTTTTTTTTTGTCATTCTATGTTTAGTTAAATACTTGATTGTAAGAAATTTATCTTAACAATGAAATTCTAATTTTTCCTATAGCATATATTTGATAGATGAATTATCATATGATTTATTAATATAAAAAAAAAACAAAAACTTGACTTCTTATTTAAGAATTGGTTGATATTGATGTCGATATATATTATAACAAGTGTAAATCATCATATATGTCAATTTAAATGACATTTTTCTTTTCATTTCAAGCAACACGCATCTTTATCATTAATCAGATTGATCAAAAAAAAATGGAGGGAGGAGGGGGCATATGCATGATCAACATTCAACAACAATTCTATTGATTTTTTTTTTGACAATAACGATACTTTTATATAATCAGATAAGTAAAAAGAAAAAAAAAACGAGAGAGAGAGAGAGAAACTCAGGACACCACACAATCATCGCAACCATTCACTTTCATACGAAAAGAAAAAAAAGAACATTATTTATATATATATATGAGCTCATTATTATGTCAGCCAGCTGACACAATCATCAAGCAATAGTTTGAGTAGATCTTAGTAATGTATGCACATGCAGCATAAAGTAATATCGATCTCTCATAGAAAATAGATAGATAAAGCAAAAAAAAAAAAAGAGAAGTAATTCGATCAGCTCATCATATGCGTGCATTCATGATTCTTCTATTCAAGTGGTAATTGTAAGAAACGAGAATAGGAAAAAAAAAGAAAAGAAAAGAAGAGGATTGGTGATTGTCAATGAGATTGATAGGAAACTTCTTCTTCTTTTTTTTTTTCTTATTACTTGCTTTTATGTCAAACATATTGTATATTATCATACTTACGTATGTGTAACATATGTGTCGAAGATAAATAGATCTATACGACTAGGAGATACAATTGCTTTTTTTTTGCATGTCATATCTTGTTAGTCTAACTGAATGTTTATTAATTTGTAGCCGGATGAGAATTGTTTTGTTCTATCTCATGATATTTCTAATTTATGATTAAAATAACAAGATTTGACTTTGAAGTTAAATGACAGAATCCATTAGTTAGATCGAGGTCAAAAAAAATCTGGTTTGTGTTAACATTTTTTATTTTTGATGATTGTTGACTTATTTGTCTACCTGTTTTATTGTCGTGATCGATTTTTGTGTAAATTCAGACCACTCTAGAAAAGGAAATACTCTGAGAAAAAAAAAAGATCAAATGTATTTGTTATGAGAAAATAGTTAGAAGAAGAAAGTCACTAATGTCAATGCTATTGTTACGAAACGGCTAACTGCTAAAATAAGTATGCAAGTATAGAGAGGCGAGAAAAAATGTGTTGAGCTGTCATTAAATTGTTTTTCCTTGAAATTTTATGTGTGTGTGTGTGTCGGCAACCTCATCGGTGTCGACATCAGAATCGATAGAATGTAGTATTTTGTCTTTTTTATTCGCGTTCTCTTGTCGTTTTATTCTTCTTAACATCAGTTATTCTAACATTAAAAAGTTCTCATCATTAAATCGCGTGAACAATCGTTTTTTTTTTATATTAGAAAAGCAATGACGCGTGTGTTTGTTCGGCTAGATTGTTGATGTTATTGTTATTATTATTTTTTGTGTTGCCTTCTAATCGCGGTATGCATAATATTTTTTTTGTGTTGTACTTAACTAATACTAATACACACATCATCATCAACGGGTAAGTTGATCTCCTCTTTTCCTTCTTATACGTTCTTAATCATTTGATATCAATGCATGATTACTATTGAATAAAGTTTGAAGCAAAATGGAAATAAAACTCAAAATTTTTGTTTTTTTTTATTATTATTATTTTTTTCTTTCTTGTTCTTTTCTTTTTCTATTTCTCTTCGTTGATATAATGATATTGCTTCTATTCAACTCCCTATAGTCAATACTTTTGAAATCAACCTTTTAAATATATACACATCATAGTCTTTGTTATGCTCATTTATTTTTTGTTCATATAAATTCTTGTCATTCGTTCTTATTATTATTATTATTATTTAGTGTTTGTGTCTTGTTGTTTTTTTTTTTTCTATTCTTATTTTATATTTCTGTTAGTCTGTCTAATGTCTATTTCTTTCTATTTCTAGTATTCTCACACATTTTGCTTGACTGAATAATGAAACAACTCAATGGTTCATTAACATTCATGTTCAAATGCATAGTTTAATCGTTGTCGTTTTCTTTTTTATTTCGTCAAACATCATCGTTAATATCACCTACATTTTCTAATTACCTATCATTATACTATATATATATATACTTATTTATTTATTTATTTATTATACTGTTTTACTCCATCGAAACATTTCATATTTTTTATTTTATAATATATATCTGCACTAGTTAATCCGGAAATAATGGGAAATACAAATTCAGGAAAAAAAGGTGATCAAGTCGAGAACGGTAAGAATATATTTATATATAGATCATAAATAACTATGTAGTTATTTAGTATATGAAAAAGGTTTGATAAAAATATTCAATGATTAGTATAATCATTGTTAGATAGGTTGTTATTATAATATTGTATTAGATGTATTTATTTCCCTAGATTTCTAATCAGAAAATGTTATATAAGCATATGTACAAGGCCGTTACATAGTGTGAAATGTCATATATGTAAGTTTCTCTGTCGACACATAAATATGCACATGTGTCAAAATAACAAGCTAAAACGTTGTTTTTCCATCTTGACATTTTGTTTATCATATATAATTATTCTAAGAATATATAGAATAGAATTTTTGATGAAGAAAATATTTTGATTTCTAAATTAAAGAATATTGTTATCTAATTGATTCTTTGTTTTGTTTTTTTTTGATGAAATTTGTTTTCGACAATGAATAAAAGAAAATAAAAATCAATTTAATATTCTTCAATATTAATTTTAATTATAAATCTTAATAATTGGAAAAACAAAAAAACAAAAATATGAATTAGATACTTTTCTTTCTTATAGAAATTAATAATTAATATTAAAAAATTTTTCAAATTTAATATATTTTAACATGATATTAGTACTACAATAGATTCATATTTCTCTTTTCTTAGAACATGATGACCTTTTTCGAAATAAGATCTATTTAAATAATTTATTACTCAAATAAGTATATATATATACTATTATAAGTGTTTCTATAAGGGTTTAATTTTGCGTATAAAGAAAATTGAAATCTATTTTTGTAATTTCATTGAAATAAAAGCAAAAAAAATTTGAATTTGTATATTTTCTTATTGTTGTTAATTTCAAATCAAACAATTCATTTGGAAAATCTTTTACAATTCTTACATGATTATATATGAGATG